CCTCCTCCTCCTCCTCCTCCTTCTTCTTCTTCTTCTTCTTCTTCTTCTTCTTCTCATCTCTCTTTCTCTCTCTCTTGTTCTGGAAAACAGATGGTGTCGATTGGGTATATCTGAGTCACCTAACATAGCTGGAAATGATTATAAAAGAGCTGATTTGCTCATAGTGAATCAGTTAAAGGACTGAGTCTATTAGTCATACATTGCTGTCACAAAGGCCTGAAAATGTTTGTGCCTGGACAAACCAGAAGCTTGTACAAATAACAGTTCCTTGACAGTTTGCTTTCTTTTATTTTTGCAATGGAAAATGCCATTTCAGTGTCTCATATTGTCATCTGTATTCAGCAAGTTGCAACTTGACTGAGTCATTGTCAAGAATGCTGTAGTGGATTTGCTACACATTGTTGGGTTAAACAGAAGCAAAGGAGGAGGGTGAACTTGCCAGCAATAGAGAAACAAAGGCTGAACTTTCTTAAGCGAGGTGGCTTTGGACAGTGTTTAAATCCAGCCGCAGTAGCAATAGCACTTAGACTTATACACCGCTTTATAGTGCTTTACAGCCCTCTCAAAGCGGTTTACAGAGTCAGCCTATTGCCCCAACAATCTTGGTCCTCATTTTACCCATTTTGGAAGGATGAAAGGCTGAGTCAACCTTGAGCCTGGTGAGCATCGAACTGCTAGCAGTTGGCAGAATTAGCCTGCAATACTGCATTCTAACCACTGCGCCGTCACGGTTCTTACATCCCTGATGAGGAAAGAGGTGGGACAGAGGTGTGTGCAATGTTTTCTTTTTATATATATAATTTTTTTTAAATTTTTGAAACAAACAAACACAAACAAAACATAAAAAACATAAAACCATCTTCCAGTTATATACGTACAATGTGTCAGTTGGTTACAAATCTTTTGTGCTATCCTTTCCTAATCCTCCCTTACAAATTGTATAGATTCTCACATTATCAATCCAGCATATATTTATACATTATCAATTATTAATCGTTCATTTGACTAAACTATTATTCCATAATTTTATACAAAATATTCTAAATTTTATATGAATTTATATTATGCATTCATCCAATGGTTATATATTTTTATATTATATTCTATATCATTCTACTAGTCTTATATTATGAAATTTCCTAGTATATTTCATTACCATGTCTTTTGGTCTAACCATTGATAAAATAAATCCCATATCTTATAGAATTGTTTATGTTCTTGTTCTCTAATTTCAAATGTCAATTTACTCATTTCAGCACAATCCATAATTTTCTTAATAACTTCCTCCTACATGGGTATTTTTTCATTTTTCCAATTCTTAGCAAATACAATTCTAGCTGCTGTTAAGACATTTACAATCAAATATTTCAATTCTTTATTATATATTTCCGGTATAATTCCCAATAAAAATATATCTGGTTTAAAGTCTATGTGTTGTTTTATTATTTTTTCCAGCCATATGTGGATTTTCGTCCAATATCTTTTTGCATCCAAGCATGTCCACCACATATGGTAATATGAACCAGGTATCTGATGACATTTCCAACATTTATCCGATTTGTTCTTAAACATTCTCACAATTCTCGTCGGGGGTAGTGCCCCCTATAAAACATCTTGTACAAATTTTCTTTATAAGCAGTTGACATTGTCATTTTATAATTTTGAGACCACAATCTTTGCTATTTCTCTAAGTCAATCTCATATCCAAAATTTTCCCCCACGCAATCATCATTTCTTTAACTTGCTCTTCCTCTAATTTAAACTCTAGTAAATGTCCATAAAGTTTTTTAATGACCTTTTCATCAGTACCTGTCAAAATTTTATCTAAATCAGTCAACTTGTCATAGAAACCTTCTGTTTTAAGATCTTTGTCAAATCTAGATTGTATTTGTCCATATGAAAACCAATTCATCTTTATATCTTATTCTTCCAATGCTTGCATAGATTTAAATTTGATTTAGAGAAAACATGAACGAATTCTACTAAAGAAATTTTTGCATGAATATGAAGTTGATGATTGATTATTGAATGCTGTCAAAGTGATGTGTGATAGGATTAAACCATGTCTGCAACTAAAAAAAATCTGTAACTGTAAAATAGATTCTATGGGACAAAATGTCTCAAACAGAGCAAGTAGATCAATTGGTGTACCTTGCTAGAAAAATAGGATAATGGATGGAAAAATGTTCATGAGGGGAGAAGTGT